TGATAGGGAGGGGGTAAGTTATTGAAATGACCAGAATGAGGATAAGTCGTGTTGTTTCAGTTGCCATCTGAAAATTTTGCCAGTTGAGGAGAAAATAGAAAGCTATTACGAGTTTAACGAAAGTGATGAATATACCACCTACAACATAAATTTAAAATTATAAAACAGTTGTAGTAATGAGGACGTATCTCCTAGGGAGAGCTCAGTTAATTTAAATTTCATTTCGAGGCGAGCCCTAATGTAGATCCTTACTGGAAAATGAATACGTGTGAAACCCTCATGTAAACATCATCTTTAACGATCCTTGGGTATCCTCAAACAGCTATGCTTTTAAATTCGGTTAGAGAAGTAAGCGTCCCATATCTCCACAAATGATACTCATTCCTTGAGAAAGTTATGAAACATTTTAAGGGGGTTAGGCCACACATTTCAAGAGTTCTTGTCTTCAGTCCACAGTATCTAATCGAAAAGAAGCTTGAAAGCTACAATTACGTTAAATTAGCCCCCACTGTTTCCGCCTTAGTTACAATTGTATTATTCGTAATAAGAATCAAACACAGGCTCGCACATCAATCAGACAGGAAAGTGAAGCTAACAATCACCGTTTGGCCGTTGTTAAGAACTTTAAGGCTTAAAGCTGAACAAGCTTTCTTAGCGCGAACGTGCATGAACCTGGTGCCCAAACAGGAGGACCAAAAGCGCAGACTAAAAGGATGAAATTATCCACAAAAAACTATCTTTCTTTCACTTTTACGGCCCATATTTCTTCTACCCGTTGAAGTTAACTACTCGTAGACTAAAGGATGCGTGAATTAAGATAAGGAAATGTTTTCATAGGAGGTTCAAGGGCTGCTAGTTTCCTAGGAAGCAAAAGCTGTAATAAGTTATCAAGTGGTCAAGGCTTTTAAGTGGAGCGATTCTAAACATCTGTCAAGAGGCTATTCTTGACGAATGCATTTTAAGAAGGAGCCCACATTTTCCTCTACCTTCCCGGAGCAAGCATTCAAATAAAAATTAGAAAAGTCTTTTGGGAGGAGGTTTTGTTTCACTTTGGCTGACGACTGGTTACTTCTGCTGCGAAAGGCAACCGAACAGGAACTGATAGATATTTGACTTCGCTTTCACAGACCTTTGAACCTGCTTTTATAATTATAGTTACATGTATTTAAAAGCGTTAGCAGTCTAAGAAGCGAAAATTACCCGATGTTTGGTTATGTAATCCTGGTTTTGTATTCGTGTTATTCCAGAGGTGTGATGTAAACCACTGAGTAAGACAACCTTTAGTTGTCCCCTAGCAAGCTTTAATATAAGGTTTTGACAGAATTATCGATCTGTCTGCTGACAGGCGTCGTTTAAAAGTAGTTGCCCCCGCAGGGTTTTTTGGCCCCAGAGGGCCAAAAACCCGAGGAGGCACCTTAAGACTCCCCGCGTAATATAGAGGAAAACTTGAGAAGAGAGAATATAGGTATTTTCGGTAGATCATAACCAGAAAAAATCTCGATTTGATCGCTTGCACGGCCGCAAGGTATCAACGTTTTTCCCGCAAATGGTCATGGGCGGCCAGCAAAAAGACACGCGCGCGAGGACTTTTGGGATCGGCGTCTTTGACACGAGCTTTGTCCTTGTCGAGATTTCGAGTTAAGCGTCCGCGTCGAGAAGCGTTTCTTAGTCCAACGGTAATTGTGTATAGCATCTTTCTAACAATTAAAGGTAGTTTTGAGTTTAAAAGGTGATCAGAATCCGTCAAAAGAGAAACGGTTGTGTGAAGTCTCGATCGAAGGCGGCGGAGGGTCCACAGCTCAGTCAGCTAACGTGAGAACTTAAAGCAAAGAACTTGCAGCATAATTAAAGTATAACCAGATATCAAATACATGAAAAAGTTGAGCTTCTAACTCGTTTGCTTTGATGTTGGATTATTCTCAGAGTTTTAGAGTTTCTTCGGTCGGAGTCCACGCGACCATCAAAGTGTGAAAGGTGCGGAGAGTGCTGTTTTGTGCTTAAAAGCTGTCTTGACTCATTTGTGTTATACAGAAGTTAATGCAGAAATAATTTCACCGATGCTCAGAAGACGGTGTAAGTTTAGCATTTTGACCGAAAGACTCGGTTAACTCCGATTTGTCCGCCGCAAATCAAGCTTATTGCACAAAGCCGAAAGACTCGGCAATTTCTGGATTTGTCAGAGGCAAGTCTGTTATTGGGCGCGAAGGACTCGCAGCACAACTGAAAGTAAACAGTAGTCAAAGAAAGGAAATTACTGGTTGTAATTGTAAATTACAGCCAAAAAAAAACATCCCAAGTACTTCGCAAAACTACATTTTGTACTCTTGTAGTATTTTGAGATCCAAAATTGCTAAAACCAAAGTATTGAGCCACAATTCCGTAACAACATAACAGAAAAATTACACAACTGTAAACAACAAGCCCAACTAAAAAAAAAACCAAAAGAAAATGGTACTGTAGGGCGGGGGCAGCTCTAGTGAGAACTATAACTAGTATATAATTAGTTAAAAGTATTTTGTACCCATATCATGAGTTGCCCGGTGATCGCTTACAGCTAGATAATAATCTCTGTAAGAAAGAGGAATTAGGGAAAAAAGGAAGTCCACAATGGTTTCCTCTCGGCTGAATAAAAGTACACGAAGATGATTGGGAAAGAAACCGTTGGACGTTTGATTATGACAGTGTCAAAAATGCATAAACAGGTGTCAAAAATTGCCAATCAGAGTAGAGGAACTTCCCGACACAAGGTGTTTTGCGGTAACCTGACTGAAGTGTCGCAAGTTACTGCTCTTAAATGAAATTTTATTTCCACCCGGCTTTGTAAGGTACATCTTGAAAGTCTGCCAATTGAGGAAGGTCTGCAACTTATATCAGTTGAATTGATGTAGCCTGAACTGAACATTTCAACTACCGTATTTATTCGATTAATCACCGCGGCGTTTGTTAAATTTTTCGTGAATTGAGTGCGACGTTTATTCGAGGTGGCGTTTATGCGAGGGCGGCCTTTATTTAAAATCCAATTTATTTCTAGCAAACAATTCTTTGGTAACTGACCGTTTTAATTTTAAGAAACGGAAATATGTTTTAGTGCTTGTCTGAAAAGTCATTTTTATATTGTTCTCAATTTCACAATTTGCATGTTAATACTACTGCAACACAAAGTAAAAGGAGATCTATTGTTGGATATGCTTTCTCGACATCAGAACCGGTAATTCAAAAAAATTTGTGTCTGATTCATTCACTGGTTTAAATTTCCATCTGCGATCGAAGCAATGATCAATGGGAGCTTTTTGGACTCTATTATTCGAATAAACGCCGCGTCATGCTGCGGCGTTCATTCGAGGGCGGCGTTTTATCAATATTTCTGCTCCAGAATGCGGCGTTTATCCGAGGGCGACGTGTAATCGAATATATACGGTAATTCAAGGAACTTTGTTTCAAATTCGTTCTTTTTTTATCACCTCATTAAGGTAGAAAGCCTATCGAGCCACATTTCCCATCTCTTTTGACGATGTTAACATCATAGATGTCTTTTTTTGTGTTCACACTGCCTTCGCCAACGGTAGAACACAAAGAATCTGCCAAATGGAAACTTTCCGTATCCGTTGGATAACCACCCCCTGATGATTGACTGAGACAGTGCCTGCTGATAGCAGTGCATATTTTTCTCCGTCGCTTGAGGGCTGTGCAAGAAAAGCCAGGACTTTACCAAAAGCAGAAGGGAAGGGATATTTGAAATTGGAAGACGCATTTGTAGAGAACCATCCCTTTTTCAAATCTAGAACAAAGTGTTTACGCGGCAATTTATTTTGTAAGTCGGTCAATGAGACTTGCACAGCCCATTTTAGTAATCAACATGGAAATGGTTTGTTCTGCGATTTTTACCCTGCTGTGAAGCTGGACGAGACTATCTGCGATTTAGATCACAATTTTATTCGGTAACAAAAAAAAGGCAACAACAACAGCTGAAGCAAACTGCTACTGAATACATCTAAAGCAATAACGGAAATGGGGATAGCAACTCCTAAGCTTGGTGACTAATAAGAAAGATGATACCTTGGTATCTTTCGCTACTCAGTTACCATTACTGCCATAATTGTTATTGTTATTATCGTTGTTACCATGGCTTACACCTCACAGCCTCTCATATATGCCTTGATTCAATCATGAACATGGTGGAAAGACTGTGCATGTCTATTAGCTGGGGCGGCTCCAGGATGTACTGAACGGAGGTTCGGATAAACTTCTTCTAAAGGCAGACTATCCAAGGGGATCTGGGGCATGCTACCACCGGAAAATTTTGAATTTAGATCCTCGGAAAGGTGATATCCAGGTTTTTTGAGCCGATGATTGAGGTTTGTTAATGCCCTTGATAACAATCTCTGTTTTGAGCTATTTTAAACATATGCTATGTCCATCAAACTCGTCAGAAACCGCACGTGTTGAAATATTTTTCATTTCATTGTAGGGGCTTTGGCAGAACCACCCGAACCAATCCTGGATCCGCCTCAGAGTGGGCAATAGCTTTGGACTTTTGTTGAGAGTAAAAGTTAGGCACATTTCAATTTCGTTTGGCGAGTGGCTGACAACTAAGACAGGGTTGATGTTTACCCTTGTTTACGTTTACGTTTGTGTTCCTAAGCGAAGTTTTCTGTCCACACCCAAACGCTGATAAACGTTCTTGTTACGTGTTTTCATTCACACGCGTATATTCTGTTTAGAAAGGTAAACTCTTCCAAGATCGTTTGCGTGTAAGAGAAAGGCCTCGACACTTAAACAAAACAGGGTTAAGAAGGTTAACGTATGGTTATGGAGCATATACTTAGGGATTTAGAATCAGGTAGCTACAAATGTTTCATTGCTCCAGTCTAATAATTGATAAAAAGTCATCATACAACCGTGTAACCTATTCGGCGACTCAAGGGTTTCTTCCTCCCAACCAAAAAGTCTACATATGTGCAAAGCTACTTAGAAATCCATACAGCGCGTGAAAACTTGCTTCAGTTCTTTAATGTGATAATCACCTTGCCATCACCTTTGTTAACACCCGCCTTGTTCTGTTGATTTGTACCAATATTATACGAACCCCCTCCCCCTGCCACACCAATTGAGGAACTCCCCACAACTCCCCCACCGGAATACCCTCCCCCTCCTCCACCAGCCAGAAAGCTAAAGCTTCCACCACCGAATCCCCCTTTGGATACGGGACATGTTCCCCCAGTTCCGCCGTTAATGAAACTCAACGAACTCGTTATCGTAGGCCCACTACTTCCTCCTCCCCCGTTGCCTTTGAGCCCAGCCCCCCCTCCTGCTAAGATACCAGGGTCCACGTTCCCTGTATCAGAGTTGCAAGGTTGGCCACCATTCCCTCCTGTCCCACCACACCTGGTGCCATTCTCTGTCGCCTAACCAGGGTCACCGTCTTCATATTGCTTTTTCGGTGACCCTCCACCCCCACCCCCACCGGCAATAATTAGCGGAGTATCATCTAAGAGAGTCACAAAAGTGCCACCACCCCCACCCCCAGGCTTATCACCGAAGTCCGCAGTACGGTGACCCTCTTGGCCAATAAGTATCTTGAGTTTGGCGCCTTTTGCAAGAGTGAAAGTTCCTTCCATCTTGGCTCCCAAGCCGCCGATCCTCCATTCGGACTGATTGAAATCTGTACCATTGGCACCTGAGGCACCAAATGCTTCGATGATGTACCCTCCCGTCACTGGAACACTCCAAATTTGGGTGCCATTACTTAAAGTGACTTTGCCGTCAAGTGATGTTCCTGCATACCCGGATGTACTAGCTGGTCCAGTTTCTTCTTTGCCATCCAAGGTTGTGAACCCAAACTTAAAGGCTTTTTCTAAAAAGTTGTAATATTTTGTTATTCTAACAATTATGGACAAGCTAATATATGGATATAAATATCTATGAATATGCTAAAAAAAAAAAAAACAGGTCATCTCGGAAACCATTTGCACTTGAAGGACTAGTCTTCAAATATTCAATTTAGCACTTGCCAAGACTATCAAAACTATGCTGAAAAAATCGTGTTCCACCATTACGGGCCATTTAATAAAGATAACGTCCTTGAATTAAGCGCGAATCCAAACTGGCTGATATTAATTTTGGTGACGGGTAAGTTTAGTAATATTGTATTACCTGTGTTTGTTGTCCCCACAAGAGATTCATTTCTTTTATGACCATCCTGAAAAAAATAAGACAAGAGACCTGAATTTAATGGCCATCTCTTTGTAACTTGAAGTTCTTTTACCTTGAACGTGTATTTTCTCTTTGCGATTTCATAACGGTAACCTGCCAACAGTTAATGAGAATTCGGAGACAGACTAATCAACTCAAGACAACACTCATTTACAAGGAAATGTAACGTAGCGAGAAGTAATAATTTTAGGTTAAAGATTGATTACGTTTCTCGCGACTGTTTTTCCGACGTCAGACCACCGAGGTCCACCGCTCCAAACATTATATTTTTGTCTCGTTGTTTCTAACCTCGATCAAGTTCTAGTCGATAAACAGCAAAAACATCTACTTACTCTCCATCACGGAACAATAATTTTAATTGAAACTCGTCACCATAAGCAAAATGATGCTCCACTTTCCTTATTTGCTTAGGTTCGACAGCTAATTATCCAGAGAAAGACTAACTTTAACGGACGTTTACTAACCGTGAGATTAAACAACTGTCCAAAGATGAATCCACGCATAGGTAAAAGGGACGCGGTATCATCTCCAGCACCTACTATTCCTTTATCGTTTAATTCACAAATAGTGGTTCTTTCTTCTTCCTTGTAATTCACTGAGTGGCATTGTGGACGCAGGATAAAACACTAGACGCCTTCTGACGATCTATAACATGACCGGTTAGGTAATAATCTTCCACAATTTGAATGAAGGATGAGCGACCCTGTAGAGCTGGTGATAAACTGCACACTGCAGTGGTCACAGTCAGTAGCATCATGAAGACGTTCATGCTCTAACCTGGGAAAAGTGAGTTGTCTTACACTGTTAATGCAAACTATAGAAGATCGATTGCCGATGTGTTTAACTGATCTTTATTTGTGGATTGTAAGAAAAACTTTCGAGCCCAATTCGGTCTGTAATCATACGAATGATAACAAAATCGGACGACCGCGCAGCGGGAGTCCGATTTGTTTATCACGACTTTACGACACGAAGTCCAAAGAACGAAGTGCACGGATGTTGCTTAGTAATGTGAAACACTGGAAAGCTAAGCAGATGTTCTTTTCAAGGATTTTGCGCCATCGTCTTTTCAGTTAGAAATGTAAATTTTCCATACTACACATTTCGAGAGTAATAATAATAATAATAATTTATTTACTTCTATAGCGCCCTTTAACATTTAGATGATCAAAGGCGCTTTACAATTAGTGTCTCTTCCACCCATCCCACCCCAGGGGAGGACATCCACCACACAGTAATCTCGTGCGTGGGAAATTAACGTCTCCTACCCCAACCCTGCAGGAGACGGGGCCTACGGTTTTACGTCCTATCCGAGAGTTCATGTCTTCAGTCCGCAGTATCTAATCGAAAAGAAGCTTGAAAGCTACAATCACGTTAAATAAACCCCCACTGTTTCCGCCTTAGTTACAAATGTATACAGAAATGTTTCGGTGAACGATTGTTGCGACGAAATTCGTAATAAGAATCAAACACAGGCTCGCACATTAATCAGACAGGAAAGTAAAGCCAACAATCACCGTTTGGCCGTTGTTGAGAGCTTTAAGGCTTAAAGCCGAACAAGCTTTCCTGGCGCGAACGTGCATGAACCTGGTACCCAAACAGGAGGACCAAAAGCGCAGACCAAAAGGATGAAACTATCCACAAATAACTACCTTTCTTTCACTTTTACGGCCCATATTTCTTCTACCCGTTGAAGTTAACTACTAGAAGACTAAAGGATGCCTGAATTAAGATAAGGAAGTGTTTTCATTGTAAGTTCGAAAGCTGCTAGTTTCCTAGGAAGCAAAAGCTGTAATAAGTTATCACGTGGTCAAGGCTTTTAAGTAGTGCGATTCTAAACATCTCTCAAGAGGCTATTCTTGACGAATGCATTTTAGGAAGGAGCTCACATTTTCCTCTACCTTCCTAGAGTAAGTATTCAAATAAATAATAGAAAAGTCTTTTGGGAGGAGGTTCCAATTGGCCTCTGCTTTTGTTTCGCTTTGGCTGGCGACTGATTACTTCTGCTGCGAAAAGCTAAATTCCTCATCCAAACAGGAACTAATAGATATTTTGACTTCGCTTTGTTAGACCTTTGAATCTGCTTTTATAGTTATATTTACATGTATTTAAAAACGTTAGCAATCTAAGAAGCGAAAATTACCTGATGTTTGGTTATGTAATCCTGCTTTTGTATTCGTCTTATTCCAGAGGTTGAATGTAAAAGATTGAGTAAGATAACCTTTAGTTGTCCCTTAACAAGCTTTAATATAAGGTTTTGACAGAATTATCGATCTGTCTGCTGACAGGCGTCACTTAAAAGTAGTATGTAATTAGTTAAAACTATTTTGCGCCCATATCATGAGTTGCCCGGCGATCGCTTACAGCTAGATAATAATCTCTGCAAGAAAGAGGAATTAGGAAAAAGAAAGAAAAACTTAAGTCCACAATGGTTTCCTCTCGGCTGAATAAAAGTACAAGAAGCGGATTATTGGGAAAGAAACCGTTGGAAGTTTGTTTCCACCCGGCTTTGCAAGGTACATCTTGAAAGTCTGCCAATTGAGGTAAATCTACAACTTATATCAGTTGAATTTATGTAGCCTGAACTGAACATTTCAACTACCGTATTTATTCGATTAAACGCCGCGGCGTTTTTTAAATTTTTGGCTTTGTGTGCACTCTGCCTACGCCAACGGTAGAACACAAAGAATCTGTCAAATGGAAACTTTCCGTGTCAAAGATGCATTTCATGTGCTTCGATGTTGGTTGGATAACCACCTGCTGATGATTGACTGAAACAGTACTTGCTGATGGCAGTGCAAATTTCTCTCCGTCGCTTGAGGGCTGTGCAAGAAAAGCCAGGACTTTACCAAACGCAGAAGGGAAGGGGCATTTGAAATCGGAAGACGCATTTGTGGAGAACCATCCCTTTTTCAAATCTAGAACAAAGTGTTTACGAGGCAATTTAATTTTTAAGTCGGTCAATGAAACTTGCTCAGTCCGTTCTAATAATCAACATGGAAATGACTTGTTCTCCTACTTTTAGCCTGCTGTGAAGCTGGACGAGACTATCTGCGATTTAGACCACAATTTTATTCGATAACAAAAAAAAGCAACAATAACAGCTGAAGCAAACTGCTACTGAATACATCTTGTGCAAAGCTACTTAGAAGTCTATACAGCGCGTGGAAACTTGCTTAGTTCTTTAATGTGATAATCACCTTGCCATCACCTTTGTTAACACCCGCCTTGTTCTGTTGATTCGTACCAATATTATACGAACCCCCTCCCCCTGCCACACCACTTGAGGAACTCCCCACAACTCCCCCACCGGAATACCCTCCCCCTCCCCCACCAGCCACAAAGCCACAGCTTCCACCACCGAATCCCCCTTTGGATGTGGGACATATTCCCCCAGTTCCGCCGTTAATGAAACTCAACGAACCGGTCATCGCACCCCCACCTCGACCTCCCCCTCTCCCGTCGCCTTTGAGCCCAGCCCCCCCTCCTGCTAAGATATCGAGGTCCACGTTTCCTGTATCGGTGTTGCAAGGTTGGCCACCATTCCCTCTCGTCCCACCACATCTGGTGCCATTCTCTGTTTCCTGACCTGGGTCACCGTCTTCATATTGCTGTTTTATTGTCCCTCCACCCCCACCCCCACCAGCAATAATTAAAGGAGTATCATCTAAGAGAGTCACAAAAGTGCCACCACCCCCACCCCCAGGATTATCACCGAAGTCCGCACCACGGTGACCCTCTTGACCAATAAGTATCTTGAGTTTGGTGCCTTTTACAAGTGTGAAAG